TTCTCAGCAAATCACCTGCGCTCACTAGTGACTAGCTTCGTGAGGGATCTCCGAGTTCTAGTGGGAAGACGTGACAAGTGAAGTTCAACATTTGTTATGCATCAAAACTATAATTTTCACTGTAATTGTACTAATTTTAGCCTACGGTTCAATTTCTGCCCAACTTGGTTTTAACTATTAGCTTTATTCCACGTGTATTCTTGTTTCAGTTATCTAGAAATATTTGATGGGCGTTTTAAAAATGTAAGGAGCTCCCTCTAACACCTGAAATTTCAATACTCAATGGACACTGGTATGCAGTGCGATCAGTGTAAAGGTTGTTAGCACGAAGTCTGCACGAATCTATCACCTGCAGTTTTGGAAAGGTTTAGTAAGCCTGGATGAGTGTCTTCATACCAGAAATGCTCCTCAGGTCGCAAAGTACTTGCGACTGGAGGCTATTACAAAGAACGTCGGAAAATGCGACCGAGATGAATTTGATGACGCTTGCTATGTCGATACACAAACTAACGTGCTGTTATTTCAAGTATATTTAAAGAAGAATGGCTCAACCGAGCCAAACAAAGATGGACTGACTCTAAATAGGTCTATCAAGAATAAGGACTTAAGATGGAAACTATGTGTACAGATATACTCTACTAAGCCGAATTTAACTGTCATGTCAGTAGATATTAAATAGCCTGATTTCGAAAATCTCACATTAGTAAGAACTGACAGAACGCACAAACATAAAGGAGTAATAAGAGTATGTTTATTTATTGGAAATATATATTGAAAATGCATGGGGTAAGAAATGATGATTGCTTCCAATTATCGCAGTCCAAAATGTAAAATGAATTAGATCTTCATCGAAAGATTATAAACTCGGTCCTCAAATAACTGATGTTTAATTTTAGGTGATCTTGGTGCACCTGCCGTCGTCAGTAAAAATATAAGGACTGAACTATCATACCAAATCTCTCAAAGAAAAAAGCTAGTTGATGCGTTTATTACTTGCATCCTAGTGCACTATTTAAAACAAGCAAATTAGTACTACTCGGGTACAGAATCATCTCTATTAGGTCTCATGTAGACTAATCATTAATATAACGTCCTAAATCTGCGTTATATACCATCCCTTGGAAAGAATGACTACTGAGTTCTTGTTTTTGATCTCTCCATTGTTGACAACAATTATGTTTCATTTTTAGCTGAATCAAATTTTTGGAAGTCAAATATACAAAACATTATACATTTAGTCTTGTCGGTAGATTGGACAACAGAATCACAGTTGCTCAAACAAACAGCCTAGAAAATATCTATTTATTTGTATCACTGCGCAGCACTTTACGTGGACTAAACCAAGGGACCATGGAATATCTCCACCATAGTTAGTTAAAAAGGTTCGCATCCTCCTCCGTGTAATAAAAGAGGTGCGGAATAAAGTTAGGTTACGGGGTACTGACGAGACAAAATCCTAATATCAGAAACTCCGAAGTATTTGTGCCTAGACTCTTCCACATCACCAGTGGAAGACGATTACGAATATGTTCAGCTGTTCTCTAACTACTTTAGCGTTACGCATATATATATATATATATATATATATATATATATATATATATACCGTAGAGGTGTTCTTTCTTTCGATTCACCAGTACTGACTCTAGACATTGTGACCGTTAAAGGATTCAATAACACGCACAACAGGCTGTTATTTAAATTAAGTATCCGAAATGGAGGCAACTAACCTACGTCGATAAACGATTTCCTAGTTTAGGTGGACCTCAGTTTGTTTACATTGGAAACTGCTAAACAGAGTTATTCTGAGTTTAGTTTTGTGATCAAAATTGTTTTATCTGAATTTAAGTGATTTCCCTTGTCTTCCATCATCATTAGCTTTTGTAAATCTTGACTTTATCATGATATAAAGAGCTATGAATAATGGTGGTTTACTAGAGCAGCAAAATGACTGAAATTCGGCTTGCAGATAAATGTTTTCAAGCATATAATGGCACATATCGGTCGCCAAATTACATGTACATGCACGTTGAGCATCCTGTGGTCCAGAAAAGATGACTTGCACATCATCATTAGCCGAGACTTGAAGACTGCAGCATACAGATCTGCTAAAGCCGCCAAAGGTGTTGGAACCTATGGACAGTGTGTAAGGCTTTTAGTCATGTCGTTAATTAAAACTTTTTGACTTTTTATATATTGTTCGTTGGTCTTAAACTGCAGTATTGAAAAAAACAGCCAGTAGCATAACAGAGAGCTGCTGGAAGAAATAAAAAGAACTATAATTAAAACTTCCTGAAATCACAAACATGAAGTATGGTAAGAAACTAAACAATCTCAACCTAATACTTCTGTCTTATAGAAGGAGAAAAAGTTACTAGATCACATCTACAGAACTTATTGACAAATTTACACCTACCATACTCTCATATATCATGTCGTTCGAACAGTGACTTTACTATGAAACTCTAAAATTTCAGTGACGTTATAATAGTTCACAAGCACATAACAAACTACTTTTCAACTGGCTATCAGCTTCCTTATCAGATAGATGTCTCGCCTACACTGTAGAATCCTTTTTGAATGTTTTGTTTTTTGGAAAGTCCCTCCATGATTACATATTTTTGTTATGACATGACGGACTTTTTCTGTTGACATTTTTGGTATTTTATTTGATTCCAATTTGAGATTTTATCATTGTATATTGTTATTATTTCTATATTTTGTACTTATATTGAAGTTTTTATGTTTGCTTCTGAACTGTACATATGTTGTTTAAATTTGATATAATATGGCTACCGCCACTTTTTTGGAATTGATATCGTGCAGTATAGGAGTTCACCTAGACCTCGGAACCTTGATACTCATTCAGAGTAATTTTGAATTGGAAGGCGTAAAATTCGTTAGGTATTGTTTGTATTTCCATTTATTATCTATTAATAGACCATTTTCCCCTAGAATTCTTGTGTTTTATATTCAAATTCGGGAAGTGCGTCCGACATACGTCTATTGGAGTCGAATTGAACTGCCACGGTAGAAAATCCAATTACATACACTACAAGTTACACATGTTGGCAAAATCAGAAGTAAACTTATGCGATCCTAATCAAATCTTGTCAGACACCAGGTCACCAGAACTAATCCGACTCCCAAGATGAGTGAATGAACTGTTTCATTCCCTATCAATAATCCAGGCACCGACTAAAGCCAATCGTGGAGAAAGACTGTTCATTACGAAGGGGGAATCACACCCCGAATATAGTTGCTTTATTAATTAATGTGTTCAAAAGCCTGCGCATTTTGTCAACGTCTTCACCAAAAAACCGTCATTTACATTTCATAAACCAAAAAGTGAATCTCTTGGTAAAAGTTCAACTCCCGAAAAGTCAGGAGATGAAAGTGCTATCTCAAAAAGCATGTATATTACGAATTTAGATGACAGTAGAGGAAGTTGACAACTTTGACTAACAATACTTGAATTAATCGATTCCGATGACAATTTGCCATGGGCTCTCACTCAACCAGTAATGTCCGAGTATAGAGCCTGTACAAGATTAATTTACTTCCTTGGCACGACTTCCAATGACAGACATTACCATACAACCTCGAGATCAAGGAACAGAACAATTGTCGGATGTCGGAGAACATACATGTGTCCTAGGACATGCCGAACCAGGACTTAATTCCACATTCAATACAACTAAAGCATAGATTGTAGTTCTAGTCGTTCACTTTTGCAACCCAAAGGCATTTGTGTCTTATTAGGTCCACCTGAAAGCTTGGATTAGTGCTGCTTGGTTTGAGGTTGTAGCTGTAAATATATATCCAAGATGGATGGTTATGATAGCCTTCGACATTGATTTTACTGGGAACACCCAAGCTAAACGACATCAGGCCGCAACTGAACAACTTCAACTTTTTAGTTTTATGTAGTCGAAAAACATTAATCCGGACAGCAGTGCGAATAAAGCATTTTCCATAGTGAACGAATGCATCGCTAGGTCAACCATGTTCACAAGCTCAACACAATCACCCAATAGTATCAAATTCGAAGCATCCGAATAAGGAGGAACTAACAAAAATGGGTAGATAATGCCCGACTATTTTCAGCATTCTTTTCGAGATAGTTACAGGACACTGATAGCATTTTCGACATGGAATTCCTTGTTATGTATTCTGTTGCACAACATTATCAAACCTCTTTGGAAAGCCTACAGTTTAATTTTTCACAGGCCGTTGAGCTCTGACCTTTTCTTTTAGCTCTTACATCCTTTACCTGCTTTAACAGATGTGGAACTAAACTCTTACATCGTGAATGCAGTCAAGATTCCCATATGAGCGCTTTGTCAAAAGAATCACCAACACTCATCTCGAGGTAATACTCGAAAGTTTGCACATTAAGGGTCAAAAAATCCAGGTACGCCCCAATTTTCTCTCATTACTTGTTTTCCTGATTTAGAATGTTTTCCCAGCTGAAGCTGCCACAGCTCCTTCAGCAGACAGTTTCAGAGAAAGACATGACAAACACATACTCACATACGGATAACCATCTCCCTCTCAAACCAGATGTGCCTTGAAGCTTGCTAGTTGTTATGATTGTCATTTCTTCAGATCACTAGCTTCTTTAGTCCACTTAATTGTCTCCATCTTTTCTTTGCTTACAATTCTGTTCTCTCTCACAATCTTCACTACCAATTAGTTAACTTATTTAATTATTTACATAGTTCTGTAATTTACCTCTTCTCATGAGCATTAAACTTTTCGCTTCATTATTCTACAAGCTGCAACTGGTTGATCTCCGGCCAGGTCATGTGACAGCTGTTCGTATACAAAACCCTTGAACTCTGAGACGAATGCATTAAGAGAAATCAGGGAACATACAAAAAAATTGGTAACGGCCAACTGACTAGAAATAATGCAGTCGAGTGGCTAAAATATCATCAGCTGCCGAGAATTGTACCGATGGAACAAGAATTCAAAGCAAGAAGAGATTGGACATTAGCACTTGCACGAGCCACATTTAAAACAAAAATTTACTTCTCAGGTAATGTCGGCTGTGGCAGCCCAAAGCGATGGAGTAGCAAAACTTCAACAAGCTCGTACAGCAGCACTAGCAAAAATAGAAGAAGCTCGAAATCGTAATTCTCTACGCAAATTTTATACTTACAAATAGGGAGGGCGAAGAGACTTAAAGAAGCTAAAGGAGAAGCAAATCTGGAAGTCGATGCTTTCAAAGCACAAGAGGAAGCTCATTATCATGCACTTGAGCTTCAGGTATGCTTGAAGACTTTGATCATCTACTGTAGCTAGGTCAACTCACAGTATGGGCCATATGAAGAAGTATGTCGCCAGATGACAGCCCAACAGTTGGATTCAATGCAACGTTCGTTTCAATCAAACAAAGATGCTGCTTTGCAGTTATTGTTGTCTAAAGTTCTAGATGTAAAGCCTGTCGTTCATGTCAACTATGGCTTCAAAGGTCCAGCGTCGCAGTAGGTTTATTACTCCTTAAAAAGAAAATCAAATCTAAACCACTTACAAGCATAATATACTTTGAATTGTGATCACAAATCTAATTATTTAAACTAATTTAATAGATAATAATTAACTTTTGTGTTTTTCTGTAAGCATGGGACAGAAAGGCATGTACGTTTGCTGGTATTCAGTTAAAGAAGTGTTTATTTACTCGTTGTAAGGCAAGCACGATACAGTTAAAATGACATCGCTTCACTGTTTGGTAATCTTTGTTTTACGTCAGGAATTTCAAAATGTTGGTGTGTATTATTTCACTCAAATTCACATTAACATGTTTGATTGCTGATAATTTATTATACTACCTAATTTAACTGACATCAAAAGCAGCCACAAATTTCTCACACTAATTTCTGGACATTACAGAACGAACGCCACTCAGATGAAAAATTGACATCTATTTCTTTGTTTATGCCGATTATTCGCTTGCTGGCGACAGTCATCTATTCAGGTTAATATAAGTATACCCTGAGACTAAGGTGAATCATAAATGCTCTGTGAGCTATTATACCTTATAGTCTCCATGAATTTTATGCACGAACTTCCCAGAAGTATGATATCCTTAGGCAACTATTTAAGAGCAGTATTGTTATGGTTTCTGACTTTTTTTGCATGATTAGCACTGCTCGTAAGCGCTAGAAACAACGTTTTAACGAAGTCCTGCAATCAGCACTCATTGATTAACTTTGGAATATTTATATTTTATCTAAGCTAGATATAAACCTGAATACTTGCCACTAGTAGTTGATTTGATTCATTTCGTATTGTTTCAAGTTCGTGAACTGCGGTTTATTAATGGCGGTTAGCTAGAGCATGGTCACTTGCTGATCAGTGGAATGAAAACCATCTTTATGGTGAGACTGAGCCACGTTAGTAGGTGCAGAATGCCTGGTTGGAGTCCGCGTCGTAATCGTGACCAGTGGTTAGAGACCTTGAATGACATGGCTAGAGATCGTTTGTCTTCTCGATTTCGGGGTTTCATTTTTACTAGTAGTCAGTTTTAACCTCCCAGACTGTGTTGTATCGATAATGCGACTGGGTTGTTCTGACATAACCAGTAACCGAATCCAGTGCTAATCTGATTGTAGGTCTTTTCATATTCCAGGAATTGAGGATTCTTTAGTGTCAATTCCGCTGTTTCAATATTTTGGTTTTAACCCCATCGTAATTCACTTGTTGATATCTATTCTGTTCAGACGAACATTAAGCCCGTCAGATTTTTAAGGGGTTGACCTTCTAGCAGGAGAATCGCTTAATGACCTAGAATATGTCGATGATATAGTTCTATTCGGTGAAGACGCTGACAAAATGCAGTCTTCTGACTACCATAAGCAACAATGCGAGCATGTTCGGGATGCGGTTCTCACCTTCGAAATGCGAAATGTTGCTTCAAGACTGGGTTGCATCGGCACCTGAACTAGTGATAGGGAGTGAAGTAGTCGAGCATGTTGATAACTTCACTTATCTGGGGAGTCTCATCAGCGCTGATAGCCTGGTGACTGAGGAAATCTCAGCGTGGATACAGAAAGCTCGATTTGATCTTGCCAATTTACGTCGTTTATGGCGTAGGCCAGATATCCGTTCGCTAACCAAAGGACGGGTGTACTGCGCAGCTGTTCGCTCCGTTCTCCATGCGAAAAAATGACCGTCAAGTGTAGATGTTCGTAGGTTACTAGTATGCTAGGGGCGGCCAGACCAAAACTTGGAAGAAATCCATGATGTCACTGACAAGTGGACTGAGTCATGTTGGTAGATGTAGGCTACCTGGTTGGGATCCGCGAGACGAAAGTCACCAATGGTTAGAGACTTTGAACGACATGGTTCAAAATCGTTTGCAATGGCGCAAGTGCATCCATTCGTTGTGTTCTCTCAAATCCTAATCTTCTGGATTCGTCAGTACATCTACCTTTGTCTTTCTAACCTTATCACACTGAAATATACTTCTTGAATAATATCTTCAAACCCTAGTCTTCTTCATTACCATTATGACCTCTACTATCCTTATCACTGTGAGATTTGATTTGACATTTGCGTCTCTGCGTTAATGTGGTATGGCAACCTGAACTTATGTACATACGTACGAAGTTCTACGTTGCAACTGACTGACTGAGACGAACTATTCACATTACCTATGGTAAATAATATAACGTTAAAATTAAACTATAATGAGAAGGCTGAGAGTGGTAATGTTGGTGTTATTCTTCAAGGGCCCAATGTATTGACTGGTGTGAATGAATAACAATGACGCGTCACTAAGTAAAGACTGACTTTTCACTACATGCGATAGACTGTTAATTCTTTCTATCAGTAAGTAAAGTAGTTGTAGACTCTTAGTTCACATTGGACAGGTCGCCTGGTGCACTGATTAGCGGGAAAAATAGTAGTACGTATTGTTAATCGTGCTGAATTTAGTTTACTGAACTGTGAATCATGCAAGAAATCTAGTTGATTGCCCCTCTAGTTTTTAGAATCAGTGAATAGAAATCGGCACTGCATTCTACTGATATAACGCGTCTTCGCGAACAGTCTAGTTCAATGGTCCAGTTTTCCAAACATCTTTCAAAATTAGTTGCTCCAGCCCATTTACAACAATTCCCTTCAAATTCTTTTTTATAGTTTATGTGGCCTCTTGAAGTTAGTAGTAAAGCCTTCCAACTCATTGACAAGGAATATCTACTGTACGGTATCTTCCATTCCAACGGCAATAAGCGGAAACTGTGTCATGAAACACGATCGAAGTATTGCTACTGACATTATAAAAGAAAATGCTTAGTTTTATTGCGTTCTTAAGTGGAACGTTACAGAAGCCAAATGATAACACTGTCAACATCATAGTGGTCGTGCTCTCGTCTACAAGTAGGAATTGACGTAAAATTTCCAATATCAATCAAATACTAGGAATTCCAACCTATTACCGATAGCATACTATTTTATTTTCGATTGTAAAGTAATTGAAAGCTTATGATATAATAAACTGATACATAATTCAACAGAAATGCCTTTTCTTGCATCCTTTAATGATAAAAATCGGGATTTAAGAACTCAAAAACCCTGATTAAGTTTATCCTAGTAACACACATCAAACGTGTTGAGTAAGCCCAATTAAAATAATGGGCATACCTATAATAAATGTCAAATAATGCATTGCTACCCTATAAAAAAAGTATCTTGTATTATAGTTTGCGTTTCAGAATGAGAATTTAAAAAAGGTTTGCGTGATAATCAAAGCAGTCAATTATAAAGTCTAGTTTAAATAGACCACACAAAATCCATCTTCCATAAACTGTGGTGATGGGCATTTCCAGGAAATATGGCATAACGCCAATGATAATTTCCCATGAAAAGATACATTACCAAGAAATAGGGCGCGCTGAATACAAACACTGATGTCATGAGTCAGTCACTTACAACGTAGAACTTCATACATGAATACATAAGTTCAAGTTGTCATACCGAATTAACACGGAGACGCAATTGTCAATTCAAATCCCATAGTGGTAGAGATAGTAGAAGTATGAGCGGTAATGGAGAAGATCAGAGTTAGTACATATGATTCGAGAAGTTTAATTCAGTGAGATAACTTTAGAAAGAGAAAGACAAAGATGATGAGGAGGAATTCTGGAGGTTAGGATTTCAGCGGAAACAAACAATGGATGCATCTGCGCCATTGCAAACGATTTTGAGCCATGTCGTTCAAGGTCTCTAACCATCGATGACTTTCGTCTCGTGGACTCCAACCAAGTAGTTCACACCTACTAACATGACTTAGTTGACCTATCAATGACTTCATGGATGTGTGCCATGTTCTTGTTTGGCCTAACCCTAGCTTTCTTCCAACATACTCCTACACCATGAGTACCGGACAACATGACCTATCGTCTCATGCAATGTCTTGTCAAAAAACATAGACAAGTCAGTCAGTAAGTTGCAACGTAGAACTTCGTACGTTTGTACATAAGTCCATGTTGCCATACCACATTAGCACAGAGACGCACATGTCAAATCAAATCTCATAGTGATAAAGAAAGTAGAGGTATTAATGGTAATGAAGAAGACTATGGATCGAAGATATTATCCAAGTATAATTCAGTGAGATAAGGTTAGAAAGACAAAGGTAGAGGTGCTGACGAATCCAGAAGATTAGGATTAGAGAGAGCACAACGAATGGATGCACTTGCGCCATTGCAATGGCGCAACGAGGAATGCTTCGAAGACACCTATGACCGAAAACCAGTAACCTACGAACATCTTCTACTCTTAGCGGCCATGTTTCACAGCCATAAAGGAAGACGGAGCGAACTACTGCGCAGTACACTAGTCCTTTAGTCAGCAAACTAATATCTCGCCTACGCCATAAGTGACGCAGGTTAGCAAAAGCTAATCGAGCCTTCTGTATCCGAGCTGAGATTTCGTCAATCACCAGGCCATCGGCAATGATGAGACTCCCAAGATAAGTGAGGCGGTCTACACGTTCGACTACTTCACTCCTTATCACTAATTCAGGTGCCGATGCAACCCAATCTTAAAGCAACATTTTGCATTTGGGTATTAATGGTAATGAAGAAGACTTAGGGTTTGAAAGATATTTATATTCAAGAAGTATAATTCAATGAGGGATAAGGTTAGAAATAAATAAAAAATCGCATCTTAAAAATTGCTAATAATATACAGAAAACACACTAGACATCTTGATGTGTAGGCCGTGCAAATTGAAAAAAATAAAAGTTATACCATCAAGAATAGGATACATCCAATGATTTATTATTATTATTATTATTACCACTACTATACATTTCAAATGTTGACGCATGCATTGCATAAGATTTGATAATATCTGCTTTTGATAAATTTCTAATCATCACACCATCATCATCAACATTATCTAAATCACTATCGTTGTAACATTCCACCGAGTGATCTTCTTCTGTACAAGAACTATTATTATGTTCAACAAGAGAATTAGTGGCATTGATTGTTGATCGTTGATCATCACATCGATTTGAACGTTCATAAAATAACAAGTATGCTGGACTTGATTCGATTTGTTTAAATGGTACACGTATTACATGTGCATCTGATGTCAATATCCATGATGATGTATAAGCTGATTCAGATGTAATTGATATTCCTTGAAAATAATTTGAAATATATTGATGTAAACTTGATAGTATACGAATTAAACAATGTTTTTTTGATTGTTGTATATGTCGCTTAGGTGTGCGCCATTTACGATAGGTGATATAATGTCCACATTGAAGAAATGCTCCTTCATGTACAATCACTGAACGAAGTATATATGGTTTTTGATAACTGTAATATATTAAATCAAAATTTGAAAATAGTTAGGAGGAAAATACCGATAATTAGCCACAGAAAAAAAAAACCCCGACGGTCAATCAGTCAGCTACAATGTAGAACTTGTTACATACGTACTACATCAGTTAAAGTTGTCACAGTACAGAGATGTAATTGTCAAAACTCGAAGTACCAAAGTATTGATCTTATGAGTTAGTTGAAAAGATGAGTCAATACAACTTACGCTCATCTGATAATTTTTTCAAACTGTACGAAGAAATAAAAGCTTACTCAACTATAAAATAAATGACGATATACATAATTTCTTGACTATGGTGGTGTTTTGTTCTCTGAGCTGGTTGTTTTGGTTGTGAAGCTTTCATTGTTCTTCTGAACAACATCATCAGCACAAACTTCAGATAGAAGTGAAGCATTCGAATTTCTCCACGTTTGACCTGTAGCTTGTTCTGCTAACCTCGATCTTGATTGGTTGCTGTTGTCTTTTGACCTGTCGTTGTTTGCAACTTTGTTTTGATTGCACCCTCCTTTTGATCTGTTTCTTGATCCTATGATTTTTCTGACTGGTTGATAGACTGAGTCAATGTCGATGTGTTTGTTGATTGCTGATTGGCCTCAGTGCCAAGCTTCTAAAAATTCTCTAGTGTTCTTTGTCCTCCCTCTACCCGATATTTCCACATTGTTCCAATCGAATGTGTGTCCATAATTGTCGGTATGTATTGATATATGAGTGAAGAATTGTCGTGGCGTTTGACTGCTAATTGGTGTTCACGTAAACGGAGCTGAAGAGGCCATCCACTTAGTTCTATGTAGTGTTTTTCACAGTTTGAGCAATTTATTTTGTAGATGGTATTTGGTTTTTCTTCCTTTGTCATTTTGTCCTTTGGTCTACATAAGATTGATTGAAGTGATTCTGTTGGTTTGTGTGCCACACCTATTCCAAATGGTTTCAGTAGTCGAGCTGTATGCTCCGATATGTCTTTGATGTGTGGTAGGATGATGCGTTTATTTGTTTCTGTGCTTGATTTCGCTTCTGATGATGGTTTCGGTTGATGTTTTTTGAACAAAAGTTGCGTGGATAGCCGTTCTTTTGGAAGATAGTCATCAGGTGTTTTTCCTCGTTTTTTTTAATGCTTCGTATGTGCTGCAGTGTGTCTTCGCTCTCTTGAACAAAGTTTGTATGCAGTTGATCTTTTGGGTTCTTGGGTTGTTGCTGTCGTAGTTGAGAATTACGTCTGTGTGAGTTGGCTTCCGAAATACTTGAGTTTCCAGTTTTCTTGAGTTAGTCCTGGTGATTAGTACATCTAGGAATGATAGGCTGTTGTTTGATTCCTTTTCCATCGTGAATTTGATGTCATCGAAGACGTTGTTGATCTGATTGTAGATGTTCTCCAGCTCATTTCTTTTGATAATAACGAATGTGTCGTCTACACAGCGAACCCACATTTTTGGCTTGATCACTGGCAGAATCGACGCTTCACTTCAATCTGAAGTTTGTGCTGATGATGTTGTTCAGAAGAACAATGAAAGCTCCACAACCAAAACAACCAGCTCAGAGAACAAAACACCACCACAATCATCCACCTGAGCTACAAGTTTTCTTCACCATCTCATAATTTCTTGACTAGTTTAGTTTCGTGTGTTGTTACGAGTATGAGGACGGATGTCACTCTTCGGCTGCCCATACCGTATAAGGAACCTGAAAAAGAAGTTAGATTAATGTTTGGAGCTTGACCGCAGACCCCAATTGCTTGAGGCCTACCACGCACGGCCATTTTAATGAGAAGTTTCTTGAAGTGTTATCTCCGCTTTTCAAAGGGCCCCACCGTCGAAGACTGAAATCCGTGAGGTATGATATTTTTACGGTCAACTTTTTCTAACCCCTTCCTTTTTTTGAGAAGGGAGCATCGCTACAGATATCGGTTTTCTGAGGGAAACACCTTACTGCTACCACACCTCTCTACAGTCAGTAGTACGGCTACGCGCTCAGACCTTAAGTTGCTGTTTTTAGTCATACCGTCGTCCAACCGACCTGCCTGGCATGGCAGAACCCACAAGAACATGTTCCAACCAATATAGCTCGGTTGGGTGATCAAGATAGGCATGCCCGATGACCACCATGTCAAGGTAGCAGCTACGGTCAGGTCATAGAGAATAACATGTCTCTTTTCTTTGTTAATATTGGAAAACTTGAACGATGGCTAGGTCTTACCTAATCTTGTATATCTGGCTATCATTAATGGTTTCTAAAACTTAATCATGAATACTGCTATAAATGCTTCTTAGATAAACGAAACTAGTTTCCCAAAAATACTTGCAACAAGTGAATTCATTAAATTACTTAACTCGTTTTTACGCTTGATCTGCTAGGTAAGAATGACAGATCAATAGATGAAGTATTGAAACTTCATCAATTGAGGTGGTTGGGACATGTGTTGCGTATGCCTAACCACCGACTGCCTCGTCGAGCTTTGTTATGTAGTGTAGGAATAGGTTGGAGGAAAGCTAGGGGCGGCCAGACCAAAACATGGCAGAAATCCATGAAGTCATTGACAAGTGGACTTAGCCATGTCGGTAATTGTCGACTACCTGGTTGGGGTCCGCGAGATGATAATAATCGATGGTTAGAAACCCTGAGTGACATGGCTCAAAATCGTTCGCAATGGCGCAGGTGCATTTATTCTTTGTGTTCTCTCAAATACTAATCTTCTGGATTCTTCAACACCTCTAGTTTTGACTTCCTAAACTTATCTCACTGAATCATACTTCTTGAATAATATCTTCTAATCCTAACCTCTCTGATTACTCCTAATACCTTAACTACCTCTACTACTATTGGATTTAAATTGACAATTGCATCTTTGTGTGCTAATGTGGTATGGCAACATGGACTGATGTACTTACATACGACGCTTGATAACCTTTATCGAAAAAAAACAAGATAACACTAACCCATGAAAATACTTCGTGCAGTAGAAAATTCATACTAATTATTTTTGTTGTCTAAGCATTCCAATCGATTTAGGAAATATTTTTATCCCACATAAATTAGGTTTTATCTTTCTTTTTTTAAAGTCTATTTCACTGAATTATACTTGTTAAATAATATTTTCGAATCCTAATCTCTTCAATTACTCCCAATACTTCTACTACCTCAACTACTAAGCGATTCGAATCGACAGTTGCTTCTCAGTGTGCTAATGTGGTATGGCAACTTGATTGCTGATGTACGTACATGCCAGGTTCTACGTTGTAACTTACTGACTAACTGGCAGAAAGTTAATGCAACTTACCTTAGTATAAGAAAAACATAATGTAACTGAGTTGCACTACAAACTATACCGTTTTCACTGTACCAAGCTTGTTTTTGTCCAGATAAATAATCAATAACTTTATGAGATGATTTTCACAAGGTTATTACCAACTACATACATATCTGGGCAGTATCATTGAACAAGCAAGGTGGATTTGATGCAGATGTGAAGGCGCGTATCGGTAAAGCAAGGGTTGTATGTCTACAACTGAACAACATTTGCAACTCAAAACAACTGTCACCAAAGTCAGAATTTTCAATACAAATGTCAAGACAGTTGCACTGTAAGGGACGGAAACTTGGAGAACTACGAAAGCCAACATCCAGAAGATACAAGTATTTATTAACAGTTGTCTAAGCAAAATACTTTGGATCCGTTGGCCAGATACTGTCAGTAACAACTTACTGTGGGAGGGAACAAATCAGAATACAGGTATTGAAGAAATCAGGAAGCACTGGAAGTGGATAGGACACATTGTGGGAAACACCCAACTACGTCACAAGACAAGCCCTCAATTGAAATCCTCAAGGCCAAAGGATAAAAAGGAGACTAAAGAATACTTTACGTCGAGAAATGGAGAGAGACATGAGAAGAATGAACTACAATTGGAGGGAACTGGAAAAGGAAGCCTAGGACAGAGTAGGATGAAGAATACTGGTCGGCGGAGGGGGTAACAGGCGTAAGTAAGTAATTACCAACTTCATTATAGTAAATTAAGTGGACCAAATTGTATTTTGTCACTCCGCAATTGACCAATCCTATCTCTCAAATAATGAATTATAATCAGTCAGATGCAACGTAGAATTTCGTACGTAAGTACAACAGTTCATGTTACACAGAGACGCGAACGTCGAATCAAATCTCATAATGATAAAGATAGTAGAGGTATTAATGAAGAAGGCTTAGGGTTTGAAGATACTATTCAAGAAGTATAATTCAGTGTGATAAGGTTAGAAAGACAAAGGTAGAGATGCTGACGAATCCAGAAGATTAGGATTTGAGAGAGCACGTGACTTCCGTCTCGTGGACCCCAACCAGGTAGCCTACATCTACCAACATGACTAAGTCCACTCGTCAGTGACTTCATGGATTTATGCCATGTTTTGGTCTGGCCGCCCCTAGCATTCTTCCAACCTAATCCTACACCACAAAACATAACTGGTTGAGTCAGTCGGTGGTTTGGCATTCGTAAGACATGTCCCAAACACCTCAACTGATGAAGTTTCACCACTTCATCGATTGATCTGCCATCCTTACTTACTTACTTTCGCCTGTTACCCCCAATGGAGCATAGGCCGCCCACCAGTTTTCTCCAACCAACTCTGTCCTGGGCTTCCCTCTGCAGTTCTGTCCAATGTTTGTTCATTCCTCTCATATCTTTCTCTATTTCAAGGCGTAGTGTGTTCCTTGGCCTTCCTCTTTTCCTTTTGCCTTGAGGGTTCCATGTGAGGGCTTGTCTAGTGACGCAGTTGGGTGCTTTTCGTAGTGTATGTCCTATCCACTTCCACCGCTTCTTCCTGATTTCCTCCTCCATTGGAATCTGACTTGTTCTCTCCCACAGTTCGTTGTTGCTGATGGTGTCTGGCCAACGAATACGAAGTATTTGCGTAGACAACTGTTAATAAACACTTGTATCTTCTGGATGATGGCTTTGGTAGTTCTCCATGTTTCCGCTCCATACAGTAGAACTGTCTTAACATTTGTATTGAAAATCCTGATTTTGGTTTTGTTTGAAAGTTGTTTGGAGTTCCAGATATTTTTCAACTGTAGAAATGCAGCCCTCGCTTTGCCAATCCGCGCCCTCACATCTGCATCCGATCCACCTTTCTCGTCGATGATGCTGCCCAGATATGTAAAGGTGTTAACGTCCTCCAAGGTATCTCCATCAAGCGTGATTCGGTTGGTGCATGTTGTGTTGCATCGGAGAATTTTGCTTTTTCCTTTATGTATGTTGAGACCTACTGCTGCTACACTGGTCGTCTTCTCTTGCATTTGTTGTTGTGTGTGCGATAGAAGAGTCAGACCATCCTGCGAAGTCCAGATCGTCCAGCTGCGTCCTAACTGTCCAGTTGATACCGTGCTTCCCTCCAGATGTTGACGTCTTCATAATCCAGTCGATGACCAGGAGAAAGAGAAAGGGTGAGAGTAAGCAACCTTGCCTGACACCGGTCTTCACCTCAAAAGAGTCTGTCAGCTGACCTCCGTGTACGATTTTGCAGTTGAATCCATCATAAGAATTCCGTATGATGTTGACTATTTTCTCAGGCACACCGTAGTGTCGAAGAAGCCTCCACAGTGTTTTCCTATCCACGCTATCGAATGCTTTCTCGTAGTCGATGAAGTTGATGTAGAGTGGTGAGTTCCATTCAATTGATTGTTCCACAATGATCCTTAATGTAGCAATTTGGTCAGTACATGATCGATCCTTACGAAATCCGGCCTGTTGATCTCGAAGTTGGGCGTCTACGAAGTCCTTCATTCTGTTTAGCAATACTCTGTTGAAGACTTTGCCTGGTATTGAAAGAAGAGTGATGCCTCTGTAGTTTTCACACTTGCTGAGATCGCCTTTCTTTGGTATTTTGATGAGGTATCCTTCTTTCCAATCTGATGATACTTGTTCCTCATCCCAAATCTTCTTGAAGAGAATGTGAAATATTTTCGCAGTTGCTTCCACATCTGCTTTCATTGCCTCTGCTGGAATGTTGTCTGGTCCTGCTGCTTTGCCGCTCTTGATTTGTCTGATGGCTATACTGATCTCCTCGATCGTGGGTGCGCCAATATTAATTGGGAGGTCCGTGGATGCTGCTTCGATGTTGGGTGAGTTCAGTGGAGCTGGTCGATTCAATAGTTCCATAAAGTGCTCCACCCACCTATTTCGCTGTTCGTCAGTGTTGCTGATTATTTTCCCTTCCTTGCTTTTCACTGGTCGTTCTGGTTTACGATAGTTTCCGGCGAGCTTCTTTGTAGTTTCGTACAATTGTCTCAAGTTTCCTTCTCTTGCAGCCTTTTCCGCCGTCATTGCTAGATCTTCCACATATTTTCGTTTGTCAGCTCTGATGCTCTTCTTCACTTCCCTGTTTGCTTCTGTATACTCGGCTTGCGCCTTAACTTTCTCTGCTCTTGTTCGGCAGACATTGATAGCTGCCTTCTTGTTCCTCCTTTCTTCAATTTTTTCAAGAGTACCAACAGAGATCCATTCCTTGTGATGGTGCTTCTTGAGACCAAGGACCTCCTGATATGTTGAAGTGATTGCCTCCTTAATCCCTTTCCAATTGTTCTCCAATGTTGCTTCCTCTCCATTGAGTAGATCCTGAAAGGCCTGGAACCTATTGGTGAGGGCTATCTTGAATTCATTGAGTTTCACAGTATCCCGAAGAAAGGCCGTATTAAACTTCTGTGATGTTGTCTGCCCCGTTGTCCAGTGCTTCTTTAATTTCAGTTTCATTTTGGCGACCAGCAAATGGTGATCTGAAGCTATATCAGCTCCTCTCTTGGTTCTCACATCCTCCATGGTCCTTCTGAACTTTTTGTTGATACAGATATGGTCAATTTGGTTTTGAGTAGTGTGATCCGGTGAAATCCATGTGGCTTTGTGAATGCGTTTGTGCGGGAATATTGTGCCACCGATGACCAGTTTGTTGAAGGCACATAGGTTTGCAAATCTCTCACCGTTTTCGTTCCTTTCTCCCAGTCCATGTCGTCCCATGATGTCTTCATATCCAGTGTTGTCCATTCCAACCTTGGCATTCAGGTCTCCCATAAGAATCGTCAAATCCTTTGGTGAACATTTCTCGACGATTGACTGCAGCCTTTCGTAGAATTGATCTTTAACGTCGTCATTGTAGTCATTGGTAGGTGCATAACATTGGATGACGTTCATTGTAATGTCCTCTTTCTTTGTTTTGAAGGATGCTTTAATGATCCTCGGCCCATGAGATTCCCATCCTATCAGTGCCTTTTGTGCATGTTTGGACAGCATCAGTGCAACTCCTTGTGTATGTGAAGCGTTTTCCTCTTCATGACCAGAGTATAACAGCAGTTCCCCTGAGGCAAGTCTCAGTTGTCCTACCTGTGTCCAGTGTGTTTCACTGATCCCGAGCACCTCGAGGTTGTATCTTTTCATTTCTGCCGCAACTTGAAATAGTCTTCCAGTCTCCCACAATGTACGAACGTTCCATGTACCTAAAAAAATGGTTGCTCTGGTTGTCAGAAGAGGCATCGGCCCCGTGACTTCCGAGGGAACTCGGCTTTCATCATGGGACGTCATAATTCTTCTTCCAACTCCCAGGGCAGAGTTAAAATGGTTTGAATTATTTTTTCTGGTTAGCGTTTTTTTGGCAAGTGAGATTTCAACGGAATGGGGCCGCCAACCCCATGTCCAACCCTCCTCCTTTATCCGGGCTTGGGACCGGCAGTAGCCCCTAAGGTTCTACTGATGAAGTTTCACCACTTCATCGATTGATCTGCCATCCTTAACTAGTACTCATTTCCTAACGACAGCATTGCTTACTCGGTTGTCCCACGAAATGAGAGCAAAGCTTCTAAGACATCTATGATCGAATACTAGTAACCTACGAACATCTACTCTTAACGGCCATGTTTCGCATCCATATAGAAGGAAGGAGCGAACTGCTGCGCAGTACACTCGTCCTTTGGTTAGCGAACGGATATCTCGTCTACGCCATAAACGTCGTAAATTGGTAAAAGCAATTCGACCTTTCTGTATCCACGCTGAGATTTCGTCAATCACCAGACCATCAGCACTGATCAGACTCCCCAGATAAGTGAAGCGATCAACACGTTCGACTACTTCACTCCCTATCACTAGTTCAGGTGCCGATGCGACCCAATCTTGAAGCAAGATTTTGCATTTCGAGGGTGAGAACCGCATCCCGAATATGCTTATATTGTCTCTTAGGGTACTTGAACAACACACAAACCAACTACTAATAATACTTTGCATTGTATCTGTACACAAAATGAAAATTCATTCAAACTAAATGATGACAATAGTGCTAATAAGTTGTTGTCAATCAAATAGAAAAACTATATAATCTATTAGGAAAAATAAAGAATACTTACTTTTTTTCAAATAATTTCAATTTATCAGAAGGTGAACATTCACAATTCTCATTATCACCATATGGATTAACAGTTTCAGATAAAGTTGGCTGATTGTTTGAAACTCGACATGATAATAATAAATAAGGTGCCATATTTAAATATTCCGGAATATGTACATGTTCAGAACGTTTCATAGCAATTTGAGTAGTTGAAGCAATTAGATCTGGACGATTGAATTGACGAATATGATTCAATTCCATGGATGAACAACTACTGCCTCCACCTGCACCGACGCCGCCGCCCCCGCCTATATTTAACCAATCACTTCGTTGAATGTATAAAACTAAATATTTCGGTGTATGCATTATCCATTGTTCACGTTGACGATGATTATTACTTGATGAAGATTTTGATGTTGACATTGTTGACTGGTGACATTTAGGACATTTCATATCAGGCATATATTCAATAATCGCCGATTGAGCATTAAGACATTCAATAAGATCTATGACTTTTTTAGATGTTTTTACATGTGATTGTTGTAATCCTTTCATCATGTGTATATTAATAAGATTTGGATTTTCTGGTGAATTATGAAAAGCATAGAATTGAATAACGAGATTAGTATAAAAGTTATATATATATATGATACGTTTGTAAAGTCAGTCAGTTACAAAAAATGGCTTCGTACATGAATACATCAGTTCAAGTTGCTATAGTGCATAAGCACAGAGATGCTACTGTCAGTTCAAATCCCATAGTGGTAGCGATAGTAGAAGTATCAGCAGTAATGGAGAAGATTAGGGTTGGAAGATATGATTGGAGAAGTATAGTTCATAGAGATAACTTTAGAAAGAGAGAGATTATGAGGAACTCTGAAGGCTAGGATTTGAGAGAACACGAGTGGATGCACTTGAGCCACTGCAAACGATTTTGAGCCATTTAATTCAGGGTTTCTAACCATCAATAACTATCACCTTGTGGACCCCAACCAGGTAGCCCACATCTACCAACATGACTCAGTCCACTTGTTAGTGATTTCACGAATTTCTGCCATGTTTTGGTTTGGCCTGACCCTAGCTTTCGTGCAACTTATTCCTACACCGCAAAACATAGCTCGTCGATGCAATCGGTGGTTGGGAATACGTAAGACTTTGTCAATCATTCGGCTCATTCATTCATGTGTGTGCATACTTATCTCGCTTGTTACATGTCTGTCTTATTTTTGTCTGATTATAAATTCTTAGTCATGCTTTATCTCTTAGAGTTGGCTCACTAGCCTTCTCCTCTTTGTTTCATCCATTCATTCGCTTGCTTGATTTCAGGTGTTCGCATGACGATTTTATCTTTGAGTGCTTGTAGTCTACTGATATAATTGTAGTGTGCCAAAATAAACGTATTCAACACTTCAAGTTAACCTTCTGATCAATAAACCGTCAGATGACATTTAGTAACCATTGTCTAGACGAGCTAATTACGAAGCCTAAGAATAGGTTGGATACGAACCGTCATGAAACCAGTGATACCTTGCACACCACAAAGCTTCACTACTTCATCTATTGATCTGCCATTGCCACCTAGTACTCGTTTCCTAACGACAGCATCGCTTACTGATGATGATCATTCACATTAATAAGACAATTTTTTCAGTAAATTGTTCACGCACAAGACCGAAGGTCCCGGGTTCGAATCTTACGAGGTGCATGAGTCGTGGATGCTCACTACCACTGGTGAGTAGTCCTATACACCAGGACGAAACGGCCGTCTTTCATTGCTTCCCAGTTTCTAATGATGTAGTCTAACATTGATCAATTTATAAAGCATAAAATAAACAATGACAGAATAACTTGCGAGAATCGAACCCAAGATATTCGGTCTTATGCGTGAACACCTAATCTCTAGGCCACTAAGCCGGCATTCAACGGTGTTGATGTCTAACTTCGATCAATCTACGGTCTTGTGTAACCTCACCCACTATTCTCGGTGAACACTGTTTCACACTTGAACAGGGTTGAACTCAATGACACTCGGTGAAACTTCCTTACAGAGCTAGTCACTAGTGAGCACATGATAAAATTCTCACTATGGCGTTGTGTAGATTGTTGAGTTTCATTAAAATCATGAATCGACCACTGCAAAGCGACCATTTAAAACCTGGAAGCACTGAAAGTAGGGATTTAAAAGTTAAGCGTTCATTACCGAAATCGAAGTTCTCGGGCTCGATTCATGCAGTGAGCGTGAGTCGTGGATGTGCGTGCACTGTTGAAGACGGTTTCCAAGTTTCTAATGGTGTGGTCTAACATTGATCGATGCATGATTTCAAAGGAAACTGAACAACTTCCACAACCCCGTATAGTGAAAATAAGATTTATACCAACATTACAAAAGAATAACCTCAACCATGATACTAAACTAAAATGTACATTTTGTTGATAACAAAATTACTCATAAATTATGTAACCAATGAAAAATACAAATTCATTTTGGTGTGTAGTTTAGAATTAAACTTGCATGAATGAACAAATGTCGATAAAATCATACACACACAGAAAAAAATCAATACGAACGAAAAACTCTAAACTAATGAAATAAAGAATGTTAGAAAACAAAAAAGTACATATTATATTTAAAACACTATTGAATGGACACGATATTCTTGTCAACATCGCCATCTTTATATGTGCAATAACTTTCAGATTTGAATCAATAACTAACTAGTCATAAAATATGAAAAACAAAACAGGAACTATCACTTAGTCAGTTAGTTGCAACTTGGAACTTTGTACGTACGTACGTATGTACGTATATGAGTTCAAGCTGCCATACCACATTAGCACATGGAGATAGATGCACTTGTCAATTCAGATCCTACAGTGATAGAGATAGTAGAAGTATTAGCAGTAATCAAAGAGATTTGGGTTCGAAGATAGAATTAAAGGAGTGTAATTTAGTGAACTTAATTTGAGAACAGACAGATGAGGGTCATGAGGACAAACAATCGATGCATCTGCAGCATCGCAAACTAATTTGAGCATCTCGCAAACCTCAACCTGGGTAGTCTACACTTACGAATATGGCTCCGTCCACTTATCAGTGACTTCATGGATTTGTTCAGTGTTATGGTTTGGCCGCTCTTAGCTTCCTTCTAACCTACTCCTACACAACAAAACAGGAATTATATTGTTTCCTTACATATTTCAATAACTACAATTTACTTTCAAATCATGAATTGATCCTATGTTAGACTACTATCAGAAATCTGAAAGCATTGGACGGCTATTTCATTCCTAGTACGGGACTCATCTATTGGTATAAGGTCTACACCCCTGAAAAATCAGACGAAATTAATGTTATCTCTAAAAGCATGTTCGTAACAAAGGTAAACATGGATGGAGAGAGGGGACAGTCCTGACGGACATCGCTTGAAGTGAAGAATTCCGATGACAGTTCGCCATAAGATCTAACTCAACCAGTAGTGTTCGAGTAAAGAGATTTCATAAGTTTAATGTAATTCTTTGGTACATCTTTTATTGACAGACACTGTTACAGAAACTCACGATCAGCAGAGTCGAATACCGCTTTAAAGTCGAGAAATACTACTATAGTTGGACGTCCGAACGTATGCCTGCGTTTTAGGACCTGATGTAGTGTGAATATCTGGTCTATTCATCCATGCCCAGGTTGAAAACCAGCCTGATATTCTATAGTCTCCTCTTCACGAGCTTTAGTAAGCGTTAGAGTATTATCGTTCGTATATCCTTGGAAAATCGAGTAAGTGATGATGGGGTTAGGAAAACGGTACTAGGTAAGGATCGCAGATCGATAGGTGAAGTTTTGAACATTCATCAGTTGAGGTGGTTGGGACATGTGTTACGAATACCAAACCTGCAACTGCCTCAACGAGCGATATTGTCTGGTGTTGGGGTAGGCTAGAAGAGAGCTAGGGGCGGCCAAACCAAAATATGGCACAAATCCACGAAGTCACTGACAAGTGGACTGAGTCATATTAGTAAGTATAGACTACCTGACTGACATTGCTCAAAATCGTTTGCAATGGCACAGGTGCAATCATTCTTTGTGTTCTCTCAAACTCTAATCTTCTGAATTCTTCATCACTCCATCTTTTTCTTTCTAAAGTTATCTCTATGAACTATACTTCATAGTTCATGAACTATACTTTCCCTAATCCTCTCCATTACTGCTAATACTCCTACTATCTCTACTACGGGATTTGGATTGACAGTTGCCTCTCTGTGCTAATGCGATACGGCAAAAACCAACCGATCCTTTTGTATCCATGCTGAGATTTCGTCATTCACCAGGTCATTAGCACTGATGAGACTCCGAAGATAAGTGAAGCGGTTCACACGCTCAACTACTTCACTACCTATCACTAGTTCATGTGCTGATGCAAGTCAATCCTGAAGCAACATTTTACATTTGAATAGGGAAAACCGCATTACGAACTGGCATAAGTAGGTACATTCTACATAAGAGAGAGAGACAGAGCTAATGATACTGTCTCACTTTTGCAAACTGAACTAAATGAAACGTGTGGTTCGAATTAGGGACTTATTGATTGAAAATCGAACACATTGAAATTATGGAAAATTGTCAAAGTAGTTAGTTTACAAAATGAATAATTCACTTACTTAAAAATATAGTTAAACAAGATTCCGGTTGTATGACCACTTTACTATGATAATTACAATAATTACAAGTTACTTGACTAGCCATTAAAATTTGTTCAAACATATGTGTAGGAAATGTATCGCATAAAATTGTCCGACACTTTATACTTTCCATGGCAGAACAATAAGATTGGCAGATAACTATCTTTGAAAAACAAAAAATATCCCATAAAAAGTAAAAGATTTGTAGTTCAAGTGGAGGATTGTGGTAGAGTTTAAGTTCGCTGAGCTGGATGTGTTTTTTTTTAGTTGTGGGGCTTTCATTGTTCTTCTTCTGAACAGCAAACATCATCAGCAGCATAAATTACAGGTCAAGAAGTGAAGTATTCGAATTTCTCCATGTATGACTGTAGTGAACGAGAACACAGGTGAGGGCAACCGAATTGTATTTAACGAAAATTATAGAGTTACTCAGTAAAATCGGAAAACCATATCGTAACCGTTCGTTAATTTGCAAAATATCAGTTCATCATCATATCGAACTGGACTGTTCCTGTTGCAAACAACATCAATCCATTGTCACTCACTATTCATGCGTTTCATACAAATCCCATTGTGTGTTCCCACTCTTCTTCCTTTCTTGATTTCCCCCCCCCATCTTCTGCTGCCAGACATTACGTTGACTGACACTCACGTCATATATACTACTTATAAGTAGCTCACACCACATGACCTGTAGCTTGTTTGATGAATACTTCATTTATCTGTTTGAAGTTTGTGCGGATGATGTTTATTGTTCAGAAGAAGAACAATGAAGTTTCCACAACCAAAATATTCAGCTCAGACGCTGAAACTCCATCACAAAGTAAGATAATTAACAAGATTTGTGAAATTACGACAAAATTAAATAAGTAAAACTTGATATTGCGTTTTTTATTGAAATCATTCCCGCGTTAGCGAAGGTCGTGACTGCACACTGCGGATTAGTTCCATACTATGACGAAACCGTCTTCCGGTGCTTTCAGGTCTCTTCTAATAGAGTAGTAGTCTAACAACAATCGATTCATGATTTCAATAAATTTATGAATTGAAGTTAAAAATTAGCAATGACATTTTTGTTTTCTAGTTAAAAATGCAACAGCACTTAAATTGATAAGTTCAAAAAAAGATTTCTAACTACATTGGAACTATCAATTAGGTTTCTTATCAACAACAAAAAGATTATTTACTCATGTTAGGATATTCCCTGGCCAAAGTCAGGAGAAGCCTGGTCGCAAGTGCACATTGACTTCGTCGGACCCCCTAGATGACACCACATATCTGATACTGGTTGACTCTTTCTCCAAATGGTCGGAGATATTGACGATTGTGCCACGTTGTACAACTTGAACCATCAAACTTCTTAATCAGATCTTCATTCAGCATGGTTTTCCAGAAAAAAATAGTAACAGACAATGGTTTGCAGTTCACATCCAGCTAATTCCAAGAATTATGCCTACAAAAGTCGATTAACCATGTCCGTTTTCAGTCATATCATCAGCAATTTAATGGACAAGCTGAAAGGTTCGTTAGCACATTTAAACGAGCCATACTTAAAGCACGAGGGAAGGGAACCAGATATGATATCATAGAACGATTTCTGTTTGTGTACCTGTTAGGATATTCACCAAATATCCTAAGAATACTATTTTTAGAAGTACAATCCCATTGGTCGAATTCTATTGGCCGAAATTATGATCGTTCTTACCGTCAGGGTCAAAAACTTCAATGTTACCTTTTATTGGTCATCTGAACTGTCAATGTCATTCAAATGTTCTTTTCTATTGGTCGTCTTAAACTGTCAATGTCACAGACGTTGATGCTTTTTCTTATTCGACCTTAGTGTATAAGTACGCACTAACTGAAAGACTTAATAATTCCGTTTCCCCTGCCTACCTCTTCTTCTGTATTCGACCCAATAAACAACTTCCTTCCACGGTGTTGCGTTCTGATATCTAGGAGATTTGGAAATAGCATTTTGGGTCGTATTGGGATATTTGAATTGGACGCCGTTACGACTGAAGAGCTATACGTAGCAGCGTTACAACAGTACCGGACGACCCCACATGACTTACTATCAAACTTCTAATCCGCTGCTGAGATGCCACAGTTCATAGTGAAATGACACCCAAGGGCTTGGCCCAGCTAAGCCCTCATATCCAGACTACTTGGATTCCTCACGAAGTTGGTGCAAAAGCATATGCGCGGGACTATAGACACGGATGTGATAGAAGGTGAAGTCACAAACAAATATAGGGACGTCATGTATGATGTCAGGGTGAAACAAGATATCTGGACCAGGCACCATAATCAACTAAAGCCTACGGAAGCTAAAGGAAACGGTGAAATTACGAAACGCCTCTCACTCGATTTGCTGTTGGATATTTTTCAACTTCCACCAATACTTCCAACAGAGACTACTGAGTCATATACTTAAGCAGAACATCCTTTAACTTCAGGGTTGTTTCCTCGAAGGTCGTCAAAACGTAAACCAAGTCAACCAAAGAAACTTCAAATAAACACTCAGTTGTGTCGCTAATAATTGTTCCTAAGGGATGTGTAGTTAAGGTCGTCACTTGTTTTGCTTGAAACTATTACGGGCTCACCTTATTTGATAAACGCGAACGAGACAATCAACCAGTGTCCAGGTAGACTACTCTAATCCGTTGACCCAGGGGTAGTAACGAAAAGTCTTGATAGAGCGTAGAAAGTATATTCTACAAACACCCAGCAAGCACAATGCATTCAAACACACAAATCTTGTTCATTTATACATCATAGAAACTTCCTTGGGAGGGTCACAAAAACAGCACACTAAAATAACACAGTAACCAATCACAGCCAAGGCTTTCCCTGGCGGGAAATGTGACCTCAAAGTCAATTGATCAGCCCATGAATAAAATCCAAAATTAATACATTTATCGAGCGAGTTCTGGGGATCTAACATCCCCAACAGATGTTAGGATATAAAAATATCCTAAAAATTATTCTTTTAAGTCTAATCCGATCATTAAACGTAAAATCGTATGTTTTCACACTGTTCACATGTTTTCAGACTTTTCACATACTTCACATTTCGTTTACTATTCGTCAATATTTACGATCGTCCTAACTGTATAAAAATATGCATTGTCTGTAAAATCCTAGACTGCATTCTGACCACACATAGCAATTTTCATCTGACAGTTTTGTGTTTCTGATATATATATTGGGGGATTTAGGGAAACAGAATTTGTTGTCGTACTGAAATATTTGAGGTTGGCCAATCGGTAGAATTTCGAGTAGCTACATCGCAGACCACAATAAACAATAATATTAATATTACTACTGCTACTGTAGTGAACGAGAACACAGGTGGGGCAACCGGAATGTATTTATCGCAAATTACAGAGTTACTCAGTAAAATAGGAAAACCATATCGTAAATGGTTAATTTGCGAATCTTCAATCAATCATCAATCCATTGTCTGACATTTCACTACTCATGCGTTTCATACAAATTCCCACTCTTCCTTTCTTGATCCTCCCCCATCTTCTGCTGCCAGACATTACGTTTACACACGCGTCATATACTACTTATAAGTAGTTCGCACCACTCTACTACTACTAGTAATAATAATAATAATAATAATAATAATAATAATAGTGTTATACACTTACTCGTTCATAATCCGGAAGATTAATATTGAACAGATTACTTATTTTTCTAGCACAGGTTTTACTAAAAAATTCATTATCTTGACTACTATAAGCACGTTCCATGATAAAACCGAATAATTCATGAGCATCCTAAAAACGTATGAAACACACACACACACACGAAAAAAGATTATATGGCTATAATAGAGTTAAATGCTAACGCCTAAACGTAGCTAGAGAAAGATACTAGTTTACGAGACAGACAAAGACAACGCAGAACCTTGTACGTAAGTACATCAGTTCAGGTTGCCATGGCCCATCAGCACACAGACACAACTTTCAGTTCAAATCCAAGAGTGATAGCAATCATAGAAGTATTAGCAGCAATGGAGAAGATTGGGGAGCGAAGATATGATTCGAGAAGTATAATTTAGTAAGATAAATTTAGAAGGAGAAACGTAGAGATTATGAGGAATGCAGAAGCTTAGAAGTTCATAGAACACAAAGAGTGGATGCACCTGTGCGATTGTAAACGATTCTGAGCAATATCGTTCAAAGTCCCTAACCATTGGTGACTTTCGTCTCGCAGACCCCAACCAGATAGCCTACATCTACCAACACGACTCAGTCCACTTGTCAGTGAAACTTCATGGATTTATTCCACGTTTTGGTTTTGCCGCCCCTAGCTTTCTTCCAATCTACTCCTACACTACAAAACATAGCTCGTCGAGGCAGTCGGTGGTTGGGCATACGTAACACATATCCCAAACACCTCAACTGACAAAGTTTCACTACTTCAACCATTGATTTGCCATCCCTACCTAAAACTCGTTTCCTAACGACAGCATTGCTTATACATACGGTTGTCCCATGATACACGAGCAATGCTTCGGAGACATTGATGATCGAAGACTAGTAACCTACGGAAGTCCTCCTCCTCCTCCTCTCGTTCAGTTTACGAGACAATTTATTTTTGGATTTATTTGTTAGAAATCGAATACCAACCAAAATATGATTCGGTTTTTCAGTCAATGCTGTAAATAAAGTAAACATATCCAAACTAACTCTTTTCATAAATCAATTGTACTGAATAAAAAAATGGATAGTGAATGTCGTCGTCAGTTAAGTAGTCGTAAAGCGATGTACAGAAAACACCTGGCGCATACATGTTATCAGTTTTGGGTCGATACAACCAAACTAAGCAATAACAAGTTTTCAGAGTCATGTAAATAGGAACAATATTCGTGGTAAGAGAAAATATCAAACATAAGAGATAGTCAGTCAATCGGTTAGTCAGTTACAACGTAGAACTTCGTACATACATACGTACGTACGTACATCAGTTCATGTTACCGTACCACGGTAGCATAAAGATGAAATTGTCCATTCAAATCTCATAGTGGTAGAGATAGTAGAAGTATTAACAGTAATGGAGAAGATTAGGGTTCCAAGATATTATTCAAGAACTATAATGTATCGAAATAAATTTAGAAAGAGAAAGATAGAGATGATGAGGAATTCATAACAGAAGATTAGAATTCCAGAGAAAACAAACAGTGGATGCACCTGACTTTCATCTCGCGGACCTCAACCAGGTAGCCTACACATCTACCAACACGACTCAGTCTACTTGTCAGTGACTTCATGGATCTATGTCATGTTATAGTTTGGCCGCGCCTAGGTTTCTTCCAACCTACTTTTACACCACAAAACATCGCTCATCGAAGCAGTTGGTGGTTGGGCGCCTACGTAACACATATCCCAACCACCACATCTGATGAAGTCCCAATACTTCATCTATTGATTTGTCATAAACATTGATGGAATAAGCTAACATGTTGATGTTGTTTACACGAAAATGCATGCATGCATAATGAGGAAAATAGTGATTTATTTTATTGGGCATACTTCATAACGAATATGTGATATATACATGATTTATACAGGCGATTAAAATCAATAAAAAATATAAATCTCTTTCAGTAAGTAACAAAACAAGAAAAAGTGTTATGCTCGCGTCAGTTGATATGCTTGAAACTATTACGAGACAGAAGACAAATGATCCAGTGACATGATAGGCTACTCCTAATCTGAGTGTCACAAGGCCCCACTAAGTAGAGGAAGATGTCTTGATATGGTGCAGAAAGTGTATTCTACAAGCACTCAGAGAATATGAGGTTGACAAGCAAACAAATCGAGTTTATTTATACAATGATAGAAAGGTTCTTGGGTGGGCCACGAAAATAGAGTACTCAAATAATACATCAACCTATAACAGCCAAGGATTTTCCGGGTGGGAAATGTGATCAGCCCATGAACTAAAACATAAAATCTAAAATTGGGACCTCTTACGAATGAGTTCTGGGGATCTAACGTCTCCAACCAAAAGTATATCGGTTAAATACTAAGTTAATTACTTCAATGTAGGAAGGATTTGATTTTGACCAATCCACTATTACTGTTGCTACCTTGACGTGGTGGTTGTCGGGCTTGACTATCGTGATGACCCAACCGAGCTATTTTGGCTGGAACATATGTTCCTGAAGGTTCTACCATGCCAGGCAGGTCGATTGGAGAACGATCAGATCTGAGAGCGAAGTCGTACTGCTGACTGCAGAGGGGTGTGACAGCAGTAAGGTGTTTCCTTCGGACAACCAGCATCTGCAGCGATGCTGCCTTCTCACAAGGAAGGAAGGGTTAGAAAAGGTCGACCATAAAAATGTCACACCTCACCCTACCTCACGGATTTCCGTCTCCGGAGGTAAGGGTGCCCACTAAGGGCTTTTAAGAGCAGAGCTAATACTCAAAAATCTTTTCATAAAAAGCCCATGCGTGACCGGCCTCAAGCAGTTGTCCCTTAGGCACTGAGGTCACGCTCTCAGGTCTCTAAGACCAACACTAATCTACCCTCCTTTTCAGGTCCCTCCTCAAGAACCAACCTTCCACGATGTGGGCAGCCGGGAAGTGACAACCGCCCTCATACCCATAACAACAGGCAAGACATCAATGTAACTACAAATGAAATGGCAGTGTTGACTAGTTTTTAATTTTCCTAGTAAATACACAACATAATGATGAATAACACAACAACTAACCTGTTGTTCATGAATAGCCCAATTTTGAGTATTCACTATATCATTAATTAATGCTTCATGATTCTCTCTTAATATATCACCTAAATTATTCTCTGCAATATATTGAGACGAACATTGTAGACCTGTTAAAATAAAATTAAAGTTATTATTGAATAAAAATATGATGTAAGGGTATTTTTAGTAAGAGATTATGATAGAAAAATTGATTCCACTATGTTAGTGGAACATAGATGGTGGAATTAAAGCATGACTACGTTGCTGCGTGCTGATTGGCTAATCTCCTATCCAATCAGCGCCTGATCGAATCTTGGAGAACAGGGGTAGAAGATTCTCGTATTGTTAGCTGCGTGCTGATTGGTTAAATCTAAACCAGTCGATCACGTGAATTTCTATCCAGAAGCTTTTCATGTAAATGCTATAAATATAACGTTGTATCTATTTTTGGCCTTAGCCTTCGCCATCACCTTTGGCTTCTTAATTCCAGTTAACCTTGCTATTTGGAATATAATCTTTTTCCTGTTCCACCGTGTTTTTCGATTCTTTGTAACTTGTCCAGTGTATTGTGATCAGAGAATACTAAGCAATAGGATTTAGCTGGGAGTTATCTAAGCAAGCGTTACAACACACTAAAACCCATTATCATTTACAATCTGTCCTACAATTTTGAGATGATGGAGAAAATTTGTAACTCAGGTGAATGATTCTGATAGAGTTTCGTTCTCTGGAATGGATGTTTTTGGTTTTGGAAGCTTACATTGTTTACTTCTGAACAACAAGGCTCAGAGAACGAAACTCCATCACAGTCTGTTCTACTTACAACCAAGTTTGGTTTATTCATGTACAACTGTAATTTCCTATTTTGCAGTGCAATTAGGTCTGGTTTGGTTGTATACAAACCACATTTATTTGAAATAAATATATGGTACAGTTTGGTTGTTAGCTTTTGGGCTCCATGGCAGGGAAGAAGGTGAAGAGAGAATTATGAGCAAATAAGAATTTAGCTGCTGGTTAAAGGTTAATAGTGTGAGACGGACATGTAATTGGTCAAATAAGAGTCAGAACAAATCTTGTTCAGAAAATGTATTGAGAGAACGAAAGCACATTGAACTAAGCGAATAGCTATTGCGTACGTAAGGGAAGTGAGTTTTTGGTCTTATCAGAGATGAAGAAGTTTAGCGAGCAATAAAATAAAAACCCAAATCTTCAAAAGTGAGATAACAGATGGCGAACTGATATGAGTTACTCATAGAATTCAACGCATCTACAGAAAATAGTCAATTTATAGAGGTCTTTTAGACTTAAAACATTGTCAGAATTCCCACGACCTGTGAAGATTTTCCATATAAATGTGAGCATAAACATTCTCGCATGACATATGTTCTAGATAACAGTGGTACTTCCAGCTGATGCAATAAATCAACCCGAAACTGAATCGATCAAACTTATAATCCACATCCTGTAAGTGTATATACAATAGTGGCGCAGGTACTACATTCATTCTTTGGCTTCTTACGTCACCTTTATCTTTCTATTTTTAAGTTGATTTCACTAGATTCTACTTCTTGAATAATATCTTCGAACCCTAATCTCTCTGATTACTGCTAATACTTCTACTACCTTTACTACTATGGAATTTGAATTGAAAATCACATCTCCGTGTGGTAATATGATATGCCGATTTGAACTGATGTATGAATGTACAAAGTTCTACGCTGTAAATGGCTGACTGACTTTGTTATAATAATGCTGCTACGTAGCTATTCAAATCCCACCGACGTCCGAATTCAAATATTCCAATACGACCAACCCAAATCTCCTATATATCAGAACGCAACACCGTTGGATGAAGTTGTTTATTGGGTCGAGTAAAGAAGAGAGGTAGGCAGGAACGAATGGAAACATGAAGTCTTACAGAGAGTGCGTATTTATACATTTAGGTCAAATAGGAAAGAGCATCAAAGTCTGTGACATTGACAGTCCGGATGACCAATAAGAGACAACATTGAAGTATGTGACTGACAGTTAAAACGACCATAATTCTGACCAATAGAAATCGACAAAAAATAGTACTCTTAGGATATTCGGTGAATATCCTAACAGACTTACAATGGAAAAAGCATGTCTATCAACGGACTTTTTTTACTATTAATGGGGGAAAGATGATCTTTGGATATGTTTCATGACGATTCTCATCATCTTCATACTTAGTGAACCATAGTTACCGATGAATTCCTCATGGATTAAATCAATTACAGCGATATTGAATTTAATGAGAATATGGTGTTTTTATAAACGAGAATAAAAAGGATTTTTACACACTGAAATCATTAATCGATCATTGTTGGAGACTACTACCATTAGAAATTTGGAAGACGGCTGTTTCGTCCTGGTATGGGACTACTCATCAGTGGCAGTGCGCATCCACGACGTCAGTCAGTCGGTCAGTTGCAACGTAGAACTTCGTACGTATGTACATAAGTTCATGTTGCCATACCACATTATTAGCACAGAGACGCAAATGTCAAATCAAATCCCATAGTGATAAAGATAGTAGAGGTATTAATGGTAATGAAGAAGACTAGGGTTCGAAGATATTATTCAAGAAGTATAATTCAGTGAGATAAGGTTAGAAAGACAAAGGTAGAGGTGCTGACGAATCCAGAAGGATTTGAGAGAGCTCAACGAATGTATGCACTTGCATCATCGCAAACGATTCTGAGCCATGTCGTTCAAGGTCTCTAACCATCGGTGACTTTCGTCTCGCGGACCCCAACCAGGTAGCCTACATCTACCAACATGACTCAGTCCACTTGTCAGTGACTTCATGGATTTCTGCCATGTTTTGTTTTGGCCACCCCTAACTTTCTTCCAATCTACTCCTACACTACAAAACATAGCTTGTCGTGGCAGTCGGTGATTAAGCATTCGTAACACATTTCCAAACCACCTCAACTGATGAAGTTTCACTACTTCATCTATTGATTTGCCATCTTTACCTAGAACTCGTCTCCTAACGACAGCATTGCTTACTCGGTTGTCCCACGATATACGAGCAATGCTTCTTAAACATCTATGATCGAATACTAGTAACCTACGAACATCTTCTACTCCATCCACGACTTCTGCTACTACATGCAGGATTCATGATTTCAATGTATGAAAAACACGGATCTTCATAATTCTGACTGAAAAAAATAAAGAGATTCGTCTATTTAATTGTTATTTTATTTATATATATTATGATAACCCTTTTATTTTTACTGAAGCAATATGAATGACAACACAATTCAAAATTGAACACTTACTTACTTACTTACCTTTTAATAAACATAACAATCGATATATAAATTTATCCGGTCGAATTTGTGCACTACGTTCCAACAGATGTACAAGACTTGGACTGGCTGCAATTGCTTGCATTAATGCATTGAAGTAACAAACATTTCTAGGATTTGGCAGGCCAATCGGTAAATCAGAGTTTTCTACAAAAACAAAAAAAATTATTACCGATCAAAATTATTATTATTATTAGAGTATAATTGCAATTAAATTTGAAAGAAAGCATAGAAAATCTGTTGCTTTGGTATTAATATGAAGCTTAAGATTTTTTTATTTGAAACAACTGCATAATTTTACATATTTGTCATTATTTTAATATATATAAATAAAATCACGACCACATCCTGATTTAGTTCAAATTCAAAAAGTTAGACCTATTTGTATATCATTATATCACAAGTCAGTTAGTTAGATACAACGTAAAAATTCATACGTACGTACGTACGTACGTAAATCAGTTCAAGTTGCCATACTACATTAGCACAGGGATGTAATTATCAATTCAAATCCCATAGTAGTAGAGGTAGTAGAAGTATTAGCAGTAATCGGAGAAGAGTAGGGTTTGACGACGAGCTATGTTTTGTAGTGTAGGAGTAGGTTGAGTGAAAGCTAAGGGCGGCAAAACCAAAACATGGCACAACTCTATGAAGTCACTGACAAGTGGACTAAGTCATGTTGGTAGATGTAGACTACCTGGTTGGGGTCCGCGAGACGAAAGTCACCGGTGCTTAGAGACCTTGAATGACATGGCTTAAAACCGTTGCAATGGCGCAGGTGCATCCACTCTTTGTGTTCTTGTTGTAACGCTGCTACGTATAGCTCTTCAGTCGTAACGGCGTCCAATTCAAATATCCTAATACGACCCAAAATGCTATTTCCAAATCTCTTAGATATCAGAACGTAACACAGTGGAAGGAAGTTGTTTATTGGGTCGAATACAGAAGAAGAGGTAGACAGGGGAAACGGAATTATGAAATCTTTCAGATAGCGCGTATTTATACACTAAGGTCGAATAAGAAAAAGCATCAACGTCTGTGACATGGACAATTTAGGACGACTAATAGGAAAGAACATTTGAAATGACATTGACCGTCCAGATGACCAATAAGATGTAACATTGAAGTATTTGACCCTGACAGTAAGAACGGTCATAATTTCGGCCAATAGAAATCGACCAATAGGATTGCACTTCTAAAAATAGTATTCTTAGGATATTTGGTGAATATCCTAACAGTTCTCTCAAATCCTAATCTTCTGGATTCGTTAGCACCCTACCTTAGTCTTTCTAAACTTATCTCACTGAATTATACTTCTTGAATATTATCTTCAAATCGTAATTTTCTCCATTAGCAAGAATTGTTCTACAATCTCTACTACTATAGGATTTGCATTGACAATTGCGTCTCCATGTTAATGTGGTATGGTAACATGAACTGATGTACAGATGTAGGAATTTCTACGTTGTAACTGACTGATTGACTGAGGGTTTGAAGATATTATTCAATAAGTATAATCGAGTGAAATAATCTTAAAAAGAAGAATATGAATGTGATGACGAATTCAGAAGGTTAGGATTTGAGAGAACACAAAGAATGAATGCAGCTGCGCCATTGCAAACGGTTTTGAGCCATGTCATTCAAGCTCTCTAACCATCGATTACTATCATCTCGTGGGCTCTAAATAGGTAGTCGACACCTACCAACATGACTTAATGAAGTTGTCAGTGACTTCATGGATTTGTGCCATATTTTGGTTTGGCTGCCCCTAGCTTAAATGCAAACAAATCAGAACGAATGTAAGCCTAATACAGTCATTAACTAGTACAAGTTGTGATATTACATGGTGTTACAGTAGCACTGGGTCATTAGAAGTAAGAGAAGGAATAGAAAATGGCAAGAAACAAAGAATATAGGGCATAAGGTTGGATAAGATATTCTTAATTCAAGTGAAAATAATCATTGGATGCATTAGTATCAGATCAAGAAACTGTAAATTTATGAACTAGGACTATGTTCCAGTTCAAATGGTCTTTTTCCGGTCTATTTTTACTACTCTAGCATCGATTGTTTATGAGGTTAGGAACTTAACGTAAAAACGTTTTACTCTCAAATTTTATCATACACAACATCTATTGTCAAATACCAATAGCCCTAGAATAGCTTTTAGTAGCAATGAGACTATGTTTTGTATCAGTTAAGCGATATGGAACAAACTTATGCATGGCATACTTTACCACTGGTAAGCAGATAGATGCTTCACATATGTGACACCTATCACAGAATAGAAAAAGCTACAATTGTTTTATCGTTGATTAATGACTGATTTCATGTTTATATAGTCCTTTTTAGTGATGATACAGTTCTGTCGATCACATTACACCTCTAGTTTTGACTTTCTAAACTTATCTCACTGAATCATACTTCTTGAATAATATCTTCTAATCCTAACCTCTCGGATTACTTCTATTACCTTTACTACCTCTTCTACTATTGGATTTGAATTGACAATTACATCTCTGTGCTGATGTGTTATGGCGACATGAACTGATGTACTTACGTACGAAGTTCTACGTTGCTGCTGACTGACTTACAATGTGTGCATTAGCCTAACTGACTCGATGTCATGCATGTTATGTTGAGAAATTAAGTGGTTGGAAATAGTCAATAAGGAACGTTTTACATCGGTTTCGTGTTTTATAACACTCGTCAATAAGGTATGTCCGTAATCTTGAGGGGACTGGTGTTCCCTCGAACATTCGATCTCATGTCACCCAGCTCAACAGTCTGAGGGGTTACTACTAAGATAATCTGGCTTCGACTGACCACCAACAGGACTGAAATGTTTACCGCCTAACATCTCATTAAAGAGCAGGCGATGTCAAACCGCTTAGGCTAGTGGTGACATTGTAATGTTTGAAAGTGGCGGGTAGTTGGGGAGTTACTGCAGGATAGTCGAACTGTTCCTTAAATAATCCTAACCATCAATCCAGTCTCCTGGATTGACAGTGAATAATAGTCCCATCTTTCTCCAGGAGATTCTTTCCAACAGTCAGTCGGTCACAACGTAGAAATCCGTACGTATGTACATCAATTCAGGTTGCCATACCGCATAAGCACAGAGAAGCAACTGTCAGTTCAAATCCCATAATGTAGAGATAGTGGAAGAATTACTGCTAATGGAGATTAGGATTTGAATATAATATTCAAGAAGTATAATTCAGTGAGATAAGTTTAGAAAGACAAAGGTAGAGGTGCTAACGAATCCAGAAGATTAGGATTTGGGAGAACACGAAGAGTGGATGCAGCTGCACCATTGCAAACGATTTTAAGCCATGTCCTTCAAGGTCTTTAACAATCAGTGACTTTCGTCTCGCGGACCCCAACCAGATAGCCTACATCTACCAACATGACTCAGTTCACTTGTCAGTGACTTCATAGATTTTTGCCATGTTTTGGTTTTGCCGCCCTTAGATTTCTTCCAAACTACTAAAATCAGTTTTCTTGATAAATCTAAACAGTTGCCTACTGTTACTTTTCGTCATTGCTTATTCTATCTCTTTTGCTTTCGCTACTCACTATTGTTTAAGATCATTGCGTAGCCTCCGCTCTTCATCATATTCAAAGCCAGATGATTTGAATTTCAGAGCATCCATCATTTCAGTAAATGTTACTAAAATCCACTGCTCCTTCCTAATCTTTTGTTTTACCTTACTGGCAGATAGCACTGTTGTTTCCACTGCTTTTTGGATATTATTTCAAGTTACTTCGGGATGGATATCACTTATGTGGATGTCTGGACATCTGAAGATCACATGCTAGTACATAGTTCTTCCTCAAGAGTGAACGCAATCGATATATGAACGTTAGTATATTTGTAAAGTAAATTGTCACTAATTTTTATCACCACAAAAGTATCATTTACGTAGCAAAAGTAAGATTCTAGCCAGTTGATCAAAAGGGAGCATTAATGAAAAACTAGAAAAGAAATATTCCCCCGTTGTTTCTTTTCATTAGAAAATAGCAATGACTGTGTGCATGATTGTAACAAAAAATTTTAGATAAAAAAATTAAGTGGAATGATGAGGTGGTTGAAGAGCCTATACTCCAAAAACTCATGAGGATTTTTCGACTAATGGAAACCGTCATGGTCTTAGTGTATTAGCATGAGTATTATGAGATGGAAAAGAGTAATTCGCCACAATGTTCATCAAGAAAGGTTTCTATCACAACATTTTGTGCATTTATGGTACAGATTGCGTAGTGTTGACAAATTCTAGGTGTAGAAACAGAGAATTGCACGCTTAAATAATAATTCTGGATGTATAACAGATTACCTATATGCTTATTAATAACCTGAACTTATAAACCAAGGTAAAAGGACGATAATGATAAGGTTAGGAGTACATATTCAACGGACATCGAAATAGGAAGAATGAAATCACCATAGTGGAGAGATAAGCTGACGAATAACTAAATGTCTAGGTGAAATACAAATAAAAAATATATATTAGCATACGATAATTAACACCCAATCATCAGACAGTTTATTAACCAGTAATTTTATTTTATAACTAGCAAAATATTTTAGGCTAAACGAGACGTCAAACGTGGCTTCCTTTAAGCAAATACTGGAACCGTTCAATAATACTGTACCTTATTTCCTAATTACAAATCCTTGTGCTGGGTTTTATGAAAGTCTAGTAACATTACTACAAAAGTTTTAAACATGTGGAATACTGGTTTGAAGCCTAGCACGATATTTACAAAATGTTCGTTTGAAACACACTTTAAATAACTTCTGAGTAGTAACCACTGGCTTTACTGTTAGCTAATGAAATCAGTAATCACTACATAGTATCTTCAAAAGTTTAATATTTTTAAAGCTCATGAGAATGCATGCTCATTGAAAAAAAAATTTAAAAAGGTCATTATGTACCCCGAAAATCTAGATAACAAATTATAAGAACAACAAAAGATTATCTCTTACGGTAATATACTTTCTTGTTTGTACGTCGATACAAGAAGAATATACCACCAGAAACCACGGCACCTCCAATAATCACCACTAGACAGTCAAAAACTTCTTTGACTGAATTACACTATAATTAGAATATAGAGATACCTGCATGACCAGTATTCCTCATCCCTAACCAGTCCGTACCGAGGACTCTCGAAAAACCGCCATTGTGGGTTTCTATTATCTAGTTTACTGTTCAGCACATGGATGACCTTCATCTCACTGAGTTATATATTGAAACGGTTTTTCCAGTCGAATAGGAGGAAGAATAGAAGAAAAGATGGTTGAAGGACTTAATTAGTATGCTGTGAATGCTTTTAGCCACCTATAACAGCTAGATTTAATAAAAGAATAAAGTCAGGAAAACATGTTTATCGAGGCTGGGGAATGATTTAATGCTATACACTGACGCAAATCAAATGATTTTATTTCCACTAGCATCATTAGGTCTTCAGTAGCTGTTAGTAAGCTTAGTCTACATACTGGCCTAAGAATCTTCCAGTGAGTTAGAGTTATGTTAAAAATTGTAGAAATAAAGCAATTAGAATAAAATAGGGTGGAAAGAAATGGGTTAAAAACTGATATAGACAAGTATCAAATCAAGGTAGAAAGGCAGCATAAATAGCTTGCGACAAGGGAAAAAGCAGAAAACAACGGACATCCTGAGACTTCAAGTAAGCTTGACAAATGAGTGCGGTAATGACTCTCTGTATGCATCGAATCGTTAATATAGGTGTAGGGGACGGACAAATTATTAACCATCTATTATATATTCAATATATTGTGAGAAAATGGAATAACTGATGTGTAACTGCCGTTTCTAAACGATTTCAAATTTTATTCTTTTCTTCTAAAACGATGATTCAGTATCACATTAATATAACACAACTCTCTTCGCTTCCTAAATACCACACGATATGTGTGAGGATAGGTCAGCCAGAAAGTCATTAGACATTCGAGGCTTTAAAATTAGACAGGAACGGAAGGCAACACAAAGTTATAGTCTGCGCAAAAATCAGCGGGCTGCAACTTATTCTCTCGAAATCGTCACTTTCAACAAAACGGATTGGCTAGCCGGAAGCCACAACTTGTTTATGAGCCAACGAACATAAATTGCCATAGAGGAGAACTGCATCAAATTTTAAACAGTTAATAGCTTCTACATGAAGAATGTAGATGTAATTATAGGCAAATCTCCAAATTAATAGTTCCGTAATTCTTCGACTTCGGTACTGACCTCATTAGGTTTACTGGACAGAACTCAGGTGAAAGCACTCGATCACACATCCGCAACAGACCACGATAGGTTATGTCGTGCCATATGTCTCCTCGCATGCCTGCTTCACTCACTTCTCAAAATCTCAATCTTCGATACTGTTCCTCCCTAACTTCTGGTTTCATTTGGCATTAGTTATCTACGATCTGAAAGGTATTATTGACAAAAGCGTTTTCCAACTCTGAATATGCAAGACACCCTCAAAGAGAGAGGTAAAAAACGCTTCAATGTCTAAGCAGAGTGAATTTAACGAGGCCCATAGTGCGCGTTACAGTTTTGAAGGATCAGTTGACACAGAAAGACGAAATTAAATCTCAAAAGAGTAACAGTCAATCCAACGTACTTATCTAGCAACAACACTGAAATGGTATAAGCACCCAAAACCAGTGTACTAAAATCTAAATCGGAAGTTAGAGGATTTTGAATAAAATTCTACATGCGATTTTCACTAATTATTATCTATTCGAAGAACAATCGATGACTGGAGTACCAGTGAAATGGAATGTGATTATTCACTCAGTTATCGATGGTGTAATTGAGTGACGAGCTTCAATAACTATCCACATTAGATCCTATTATGTAACCCCTGTTACAAATTCCTCATAGCTTCTGCTCAGCCTAGATCAAATACTTCTCGACATGTCAACTATCTGCCAAATATATTTCCGGGCTTCTTTTGAATGATTTCCGGTATGTATATGTTTGCGCTCTTTGAGTATGACTTTTCCTCCTTGATCTACCACATATAACAAAAAATTCAGTTTTTACTACTAGTTCAATTACTTAAACACTTCTGAGGATAAATACTTCGTCTTTATTTACTTATCGCTATGCCTACAGAAATATCGATACGACTGGATAGCAGCTGACGAAAAATAAATAAGTGACACGATAACGGGACTGCTAATCTGTTCTCTTCATCCTAACCCGGCTAACTAGGGCAGAAAGTTCAAAGTCAGCCACAAGCAAAAGTATTCACATGCAACTAGTTCAAGCCTAATTTAAACAGCAAAAAAAGCTTTATTCAAAAGAGTTAAGATCAGCGAGGCGTAAAGTCTTTCCAAATGGCGAAAATACTAGGGGTTATAAGGAGTACTTTTTACACTAGCTGTCTCCATCAATTACTCTCCTTCGATTTGCTTCGGCTGAAATGTAAACACGTTCATTCACTTGCAAACACATGACTTGTGAAAAACTCGCTGCTTTCACGTGTAGTTGCCCACTGGGATGGTTAATGGTTAAATAGAAACTTCCACTCTATTTCGACAACCATTATTTTATAGCTTGTATTCACTTACTGATATTCTTATCATTCGTCCTCTTTGAAACTAATGGCGTTCGTATTTTCCTTTTAAAAATATCTTATAATTCTTTTTTTGCTTGCTGATTAATATTTACAGTGACGGTGTTGCAATGGTCACTAACACTATGACTGCTGCTAAAGTTGGTAGAGTACCCGAGTAAAGTGATTCTCTTTGTTTGAATTAACAACTTTACAATGAACTCGACTCAGCGTTAAAATGAAATTTCTCCGTTCAAGGAGAAGATTGATAATTTTTTTACATGACGAAACAAGATTCTTCTTATACTACAGACCTGCCTCTTTTGCACTGTTAAGATGCTGAACACTTCTTCTAGTGAAGATGATGAATACCCAGGTTCGTCAGGCAATTTCGGTGATGATCAGAATATAAACTGGTTGCATTATGAAGAAAAGAGGTAAGTTCCATTTATTATAGTTTAATTTGTGTTTAAAACTTTATAATGTAAACATATTTTCTTTTTAAGTGCCAAAAGAAATATGTTATAATGTAAAATTAAACTTAGTTAGAACGATGCACATACCTACTTTCATTTCAATAACTGTAGGCTTCTCCAAATGTATAATTCAAGTCTTGTTATAAGGTTTCATCGTTTTCTTATGATTCAAATAGTCACCTATTCATCAGATGTAGGTTTGATTTATTGATGTTAAAATAACATGGCTTGAATTTTTGTAACTGAATTTTTTTGTGACCATTCAAAGTTATCATACTATGCACTGGACATTTCAGAAGTCATTATTGAGATTGCACCTTCTAGTTCATACCTACATCGGCCTTTTAAAGGCTTTCTTAAACTTAAATGTATGACTTTTTATTGACGAGATTACCAGGCCAATCATCTTATAACGAAAACTATTCGCGGGATGTTACAACGTTTTTAAAATATATTTCTTCTAATTACCAAGCAGTTATTCTTCATTATGATTCTGTAGTCGCACTAAAGATCTTAAAAGAGAACCAAAAAATTAGAGCTTTCAGCCAAGGAAAACTCAAGGTCCGTAGTGAGTTAGGAATGGAAAAGTTTGACATTCTGGACTGTCACTCAAAATCGTGGAAGGCTAACGGCTTGGCTCTTTTATTCTTATTGTTTTTGCAAGTTGTCTTCTATTTCCTTCGATTCAAGAATTGGTTTGAATCTCACGAAACTATTAGAATATGCAGTATATAGACTAAATTCTACTTGTTTATCGGCCGATACCAAGTAAACGTTTACTACATAATTAGTCCTAGTAAATTTTTAAAAATTTACAGTTCTTCACTTGACATTCGTGCTCTATTGAATGAATACAACATTCAGAATTTCCTACATCTTTGAAACAAGAAAGATGATAGAGGTAACTTTTCATAAACTATTTTCAAAGACCAGATGTAATGGGAATATCAAAATACAAGAAACAAGTTTATTTTCTTCAAGTAATTTTACGAAAATATGTTAATTTCAACCAATAGCAAGTAATAATCACTAAAAACAGCTAAAGCCAGATCATCTTTTGCTAGAAATCAGTGATTGTTGGTAGTAATAAAGGCTCGAGAAATGTTTTTTTATATCTAAAATCACTCAAATTATAGTAGTCAAATTTTAAATCCAAAACGTTAAAGCCAGAAAACTTAATACCTGTAAGGGAATCTATCACTAGTTCTTGTCAGTCACTAGTGTTGATGTTTGCAGAAAGAAGTTTGGAAGGCGCATTTGACGTTAAAAAATAACAGCTATCACAGAGATTTGTGAGTGATGATATGCCACCGAATTTCTCATTCTTTATTAAAAATTCTTTATTTGAACTATCAAGAACAGTTATGATGTTTACTGTGCACAATATTTGTTGTTTATCTCACTTGAACAAGTGAAATGTTTAGATGTCATGAAGTTATCAATCGTTCCTATGATTTGGTTTTTATTGTACTAGTGAATTAAGCAACAGATGTTATTTGAGCAGTCTAGATAAAAATCTAGATTTAAAAAAATCACTGGATAAATAAGAAATAATTGCGCACCAACTGAATAGTATTTACTCCTATAATGAATACAAAAAATGTAGCATTACTTACTTAATTCCTTACGCCTGTTACCCCCAATGGAGCGTAGGCCGCTCACCAGTTTTCGCCAACCAACTCTGTCCTGGGCTTCCCTCTCGAGTTCTGTCCAATGTTTGTTCATTACTCTCATATCTTTCTCTATTTCTCGGCGTAGTGTGTTCCTTGGCCTTCCTCTTTTCCTTTTGCCTTGAGGGTTCCATATGAGGGCTTGTCTTGTGACGCAGTTAGGTGCTTTTCGTAGTGTGTGTCCTATCTATTTCCACCACTTCTTCCTGATTTCCTCCTTCACTGCAATCTGGTTTGATCTCTCCAATAGTAGGTTGTTGCTGATAGTGTCTGGCCAACGAATCCGAAGTATTGTGCGTAGACAACTGTTAATAAACACTTATATCTTCTGGATGATGCCTTTCGTAGTTCTGCAAATTTCCGCTCCATACAGTAGAACTGTCTTGACATTTGTGTTGAAAATCCTGATTTTGGTGTTGATTGATATTTGTTTGGAGTTCCAGATATTTTCCGATTGTAGAAATGCAGCCCTTGCTTTGCCAATCCGCACCCTCACATCTGCATCGGATCCACCTTGATTGTCGATGATGCTGCCAAGATATGTAAAGGTGTTAACGTCCTCCAAGGCATCTCCATCAAGAGCGATTTGGTTGGTGCATGTTGTATTGCATCGGAGAGTTTTGCTTTTTCCTTTATGTATGTTGAGACCTACTGCTGCAGAGGCTGCTGCTACACTGGTCGTCTTCTCTTGCATTTGTTGTTGAGTGTGTGTGATAGAAGAGCCAGATCATCTGCAAAGTCCAGATCGTCCAGCTGCGTCCTAGCTGTCCAGTTGATACCGTGCTTCCCTCCAGATGTCAACGTCTTCATAATCCAGTCGATGACCAGGAGAAAGAGATAGGGTGAGAGTAAGCAACCTCAGTGGATAAATAAGAAATAATTGCACACCGACTGAATAGTAGTATTTACTCCTATAATGAATACAAAAAAGTATAGCATAATTGTTTTATATAAAAAACACATGTCTAGACATTTCCATAAAACCCTTGTGTCTACGTATTGAAACTAGTTTTGTACAGTTTTGAATAGCAGATAGATTATTCATTTTTTTTAACTCGTCTAAATGTTTGGAATTGTTAAAAAGGTAGTTTTTAATGGATTATTTCAGAGTATTTTATTCACTGAAAGCAAACGCTACAAAATTAATTATATTGGATAGCAAAAAAAGATTTCGATTGAATTTCACTCTTGTACATTGAGTTTTAAACGGTTAGTAATTGAGTTATAATATCAGACATGGTAATATCGTTTTTGGAACTAATAAATACATGGTAGACATAAAATGCAAACAATTTGATTAAATAAAAGCCTACACAATATGGGTAAACGTGCATTTGAAAAATAGGACTTAATAGTTGCAGAAAATGAATGATTAAAAGTTTATGTTTTAGTAATAATGTTTGGTTATTTTTCACGTAAATCATTAAAACTGCCAGTTGATTCTTATTTAAGTGATATGTTAAGAGAAACTCGAGATATAATACTTTGTCTAATGAAACTGAGTTAGTTGATATGTTTTTGTTTTATGTTTCCTTATATGCAGAAAGTTTCGACTGATTCCTATGTTTTTAATAGTTTAAAAGATTATAATTGAGATTTAGCGAACTTTATTCCGTGAAAAGAAGTTTTCGAAGGCAGTTTAGGTGAATAAGTGAGATTCAAGTTAGGTAGCATTGGGGGTTAGCTACTCGTTGTTTACTGGGGATTGCTGTACTTAGCAGCTTACATCTTAATCACCTACAATGTAGAATTTCGTACGTACGTATATCGGCTCAAGTTGCCGTACCACATTAGCATACACAGATGAAAGTATCAATTCAAATCCCATGGTGGCAGACATAGTAGATGTATTAAAAGTAATTGAGAAGATTAGGGATCGAAGATTTAGTTTGAGAAGTATAATTTAGTGAGGTAAACTTAAAAAAAAATATTGAAGGTCATCAGGTATTCAGAAGATTAGAGGTTGTGCTACTGCAAACGATTTTGAGCCATGTCATTCAGTCTTTAACTATCGGTTGCTATCGTCTCGTGGACCCCAACAATGTAGTCTACATTTACTGGCGTGGGCCGGTGAATTCATGGATTTGTGCCATGTTCTGGTTCGGCCACCCTTATTTTTATTCTAGCCAATCCTCAGATTAGACAACACCACTGGTTGAGGCAGTCGGTGGTCAGGCACACGTAACACATGCCCTAACCACTTCAACTGATGAAGTTTCAATTCTTCGTCAATTGGTCTGCCATCCTTACCTAGTACCATATTCCTAACACCGGGATTGCTTGATTTATGCTCCTAGAATATACGAGCAATGCTTGTAAGACATTTTTAATCAAAAACTAGTACCCTAATAATATCCTCTACTCTTATCAGCCGTGTTTCACATCCGTAAAGTAGGATGAAGCGAACCCCTGAGCGGTAAACTCGTCCTTTAATCTGCAGACGGGTATCACCTTAAATATCCTAATCTTCACCATAAGCAGTAATTCTTCCACTATCTCTACTACTATGGGATTTGCATTGACAATTGCGTTTCTGTGCTAATGTGGTATGGCAACATGAACTAATGTAATTACGTACGGAGTTCTACTTTGTAACTGACTGACTGACTGATCACCTTAAATAAACAAGCAATGAAAGGTAAAAGCGCTAAACATCCTTCTTGTCCCTTCAAAAGTTCACACACACGAACACGTTGAAAGTCGAACCAAGGATCTTTAGCTCTTCAGCCAAGAGCTTGACCTCTAGACTAACGAGTTCATATCAGTTTTTGTCCACGACTGTTACAATTCAAACATGGCGACTATGAGGTATTTACGCACGTATGGTAATAGAATATAGTTATGTTTTACTTCACCATCCATTACGATCAAGTAAAGAAAAACAATACATACATATATAGTTTTTTAATAGTACTATAAGTACTAAGCTAACACTCTAAAAACTTCTCATGAAAAAGCCGTGCTCGATCGGCCTGAATCAGTTGGCCCTTAGGCCCCTACTGTCACTCACTCATTCCTCTGAGGCCTGAGAAATGTGTTACGAATGCCCAACCACAAACTGCCTAAACGAGCTATGCTTTATGAAGTAGGAGTAGGTTGAAAGGAAGGTAAGGCCGGTCAAACCAAAACATGGCACAAATCCATGAAGTCATTGGCAACTAGGCTGAGCCATGTTGGTAGATGTAGACTACCTGGTTGGGGTCCACGAGATGATAGTAACCGATGGTTAAAAAGCTTGAATGACACGGCTCGAAATCGTTTTCATCCATTCTTCCGAATTCCTCATCACCT